TCTTTAGCCACGGAAAACCGGTTATGCCATCGAGCAAGTCGTTATGCATATGTACAGGGTGTTCCATTCGAATCTACTCGACGATATCGAAAAATCGTTCGTTCGGATTATCGTATTGAATTTCACGTCGTTTAATTTCGTTTTATTCAGATTCCAAGCTAATATAGTGCGTTTGGGTCGATTTAAACGGGACGCTTTACTTACGAGATCTCATAAATAATTTTAATAGAAACATTAGTCATACATTCCGCTCGAAGCGTAAAAGGTCAATGCAGTCTATCAAAGGGCAACGGTGAAAGGAAGGCGGCGATATTTTAAATAGCGTAATACTTATCCAATTCCATTTTTACGCATTTTCAATTCACCGGCCCAGAGCAGATCGCGCAACACGTGGATGGACTTTGTTGCGCGACTAACTGTACGATCATTGCCGGGCTCGTCACGGGCCATTGCCTCTTTATTACAAGCCTTTTCCTACCTCTCCTCCTCCTTTCCGAGAAGGTTCAACTCGCATAATCGTTTTCCTCTCTGAGGGAAAGTGAACGCCAAAAGCCAGCCGACAATGCGTCACCGCGAAGTGCAATGCCAATTAAATCGCGATTATCGCGATATTTCTCACTGCTTTATATTCTACCAATGAAAATCGCGATTATGAAATAATCTAGCTATTTTTTTCCCCCGATAAAACGTGACTTATGTCCGTGGCATGCGAGCGAGAAAATATCGATAATATTCGATTAATCGTGAACAACCAAGTCCATCGATATTTATCTAGAATTGTTTATCTATGGGAAGTGCAATAGCTCGTAAAGCGTTAGATGACAAAAGAAAATGATTTCCTTTTTTTTCCATCCAAAGGAAAGAAAATCCAAAAAAAACGTGGAAAAAAAGTTTTTACTCCGTTGAAATTATTTTTTCCATCCGCGAAATTAACGATAAAACTAATAAAATTTTCTTGATAAAACACGTATCGATATCATAGCTGATAAAAAAAGGAAAAAAACGATTTAAAGTTGTTAATTGTTAAACCTTTTGTCTCCTTCCTGTAATTAAGTCACGATTAGTGACACCAGGATTCATTTCTTTCGACGATTCAAACGTCGCAATTATGTCGCGAAGTTTGCCTGCCTCATTCTCTTTCTTTAATTTTTTTATTTCCTGCAACGGTACAACGGAGCCAAGAAACGCGGGACGAAGGATGTCCCGTCGTGGGGAAGGCCTTACCCGTGTAATTAAATTAGACGCAGTGCGAGGATTACCTGTGCAATGAGGAAGGAAATACGCGGGATTGCCACACGCTGAAAAACACGGCTCGTCATTTCGTTTTCGCAATTGGCGGATCGTTAATGTTCTCGTTGGCGAGAAGGTGCAAGTGCGCGTTTCAGCATTTCAAAATTTTTGCCCGAATCGTGTTTTTTACACGTTTTTTTTTTTTTTTTTTTTTTAA